CGGGGCCGCGGGGCGCGCTGCTGGCCTGGTGCCGCCGCCAGTGCGAGGGCTACCGCGGCGTGGACATCCGCGACTTGAGCAGCTCCTTCCGGGACGGCCTGGCTTTCTGCGCCATCCTGCACCGGCACCGGCCCGACCTGCTGTGAGTGCCCGAGGAGGGCGGGCGGGCCGGGCGGGCGCCGCGGGCGGCTGCTGGGGACCCCCGCCCCCCTCAGTGACGCGGCGCCCGGGCGGTGACAGGCACCACCCCCCGGGACAGCGACGCCGACCCTCCCGACCGACGCGAAACGCCCTGCGGGTCGCTGAGACCACCCCCCAACCCGTGGCACCCTCGTCGCCCTACTAAGCCTCTGACCCCCAACTGCTGAGACATTGAACCCACTCCCAAGCTGGTGGTTTCAGCCTAGGGGAACGGAGCCCGCCTACAAGGCACTGATTTCTGCCTGAGAAACAGCCCCCAAGGCCTTGACCTTCTTTGTCAGCTTCCTCTGAAACAGGGACACTAGGGCTCCCCCCAGGTCTGCCAGCCCCTCCCCATGAGGCATGGAGGCCTGTTCACTCGGTGGGGACCCCTTTGCTCTGTGGATACAGTGAACCCTCACTTCTCCTGTTCCCCAGTGGGATCGTTGTCTGTAGGACGGTAGCACAGTGCGTGGCCCAGAGACCCTAGGTTTAACATTGCTGAATGAATGAATGTGCACCCCTCCCTCAAATCAGGACCCAGACCTGCCTCCAGAGGCATTTAGGGTATGACAGGTTTGGCGCCTGACCTGGACGTCACTTGAAGGGGGCGCCACTGAGCAGTTTCTGTTAACCATAGCAGTTTTTCCATGGCCAACTGAGAGATGGTTCAGCAAGTTAAAACTAATACTTTCCTGTTTGAGAGCCTCCCTGGGTCAAGGCAGACCATGTGGCCTCGCTCTGCTGAGGGTAGAAAAAGAAGAAGCTGGAAAAAAATGATACTGAGCTCATCATAGGCCAATTTTTAGCAGCATAACCAAGGAAGGCGTGGTTGTAACTTTCGTGTAGTGCCAAGGTGTGTCAAGTAAAAGATGAACGAGCTTGACTTGTATTTTGGAGCTGATAGAATGGTAAAGTTCTCTGAAGGATGAGTGTCAGATGTTTGGACCGGGATGCAATTTCAGTGCTTACGCTGGGTGCTGTTTGCTGTGGCTGTGCCTCTGCCTGACTCCCCGGGAGTGTGTTCACAGTCCTCCTCAATGGATGCAGGACAGCCAAGCGTCAAGGAAGAGGAGTGGGGCTGAGTGGCCTTAGAACAGCCCCAACCAGCTGTGAAATATAGTCCCTTCCTTCCAGAGGTGCCCACGGAGGTTCTCCAGAGAAAATTTATTCAGGGTCTAGAGCAATTATAGCAAGGATTGTGAGGACGGTGCCGGACCGGGCAGTGGGTTGTTCTGTGGTACAAGGGTCGCTGTGATTCAGAGCTAACTCGACGGCACCTAGCAACGACAGAGCAGTTGGCTTGGGGCTTCTGTCTCCAGCTTCACCGAACCTCTTCATTCATTCATTTATTCATAAAACTGAGTGACTGTTGGTGTCCGCCCTTCGTCTGGCCTTAGGCGCTCATCTGCAAGTTGGAGCAAGAGTCTTGGTCCTTGCCTCCCTTGCTGACACCCCTCTGCCAGGAATGCCCCTCCCAGGGCTTCTGGAGCCTGGCAGGGCCTGGAAGCTGTGTCTGTGGCTACCCTACCTCCAGACCTGCTCCCAAAGACACAGGAGAGGGCATCGAGGAACGAGGGAAGGAAGGAAGGTCTTGCCTCGGGATTTGATGGTGCCACGGTTGGCTTATTCTACCCCATGCAGTACAAGACCTATGGGTGCTGTGACTCGCTGGGCTGGGCCCTGAGCAAAAGGTTTCGGGGGTGTGGATACAGAAGTGAACTAGGTGAGGTGGAGTCTGACATCCTAGTAGGGGCGATGGAGGTATGTGATGACAGCACTGCCAGGAGGGAGCACCGGGGTGTGTGAGGACTCAGAGCTCTGGAAGGGGCCTGGAGGATGGAGAAGGAGGGTGCCGGGATTGGATCCATTGGCTTGGAGCAGAGGGCTCAGGGGGATTTGCTTTGGTGTACCTGAACCTGTTAGCATCGTCGCTCAAGCTGTCTGGTTGGTGTTCAGCCCCTCCATGTCCCAGGTGTGTGACCTTGAGTAAATCATTGGGTCTCTCCAGGCCTCAGTTTCCTCGTCTGTAAAGTGGGGTTGATCATAAGACCTACCTCCTAGAGTTGTTGTGAGGATTAAACGGGATGATAAACATTCCATGAACATTAGTTATTGTTAAGTAGTAGTATTAGGCAGTAGAGGGAGTGGTGACAGTGTGTGATTTATTTAGCAACTATTTAGTGAATTACTTCTTTGTGCTGGACACTGTGCCTGGTAATGAAGACACCCACTGACATAACAAACAGACAGAAAGCCCGCACCATTGATGGGAGGAAGCAAATGTTTGAACAGTGATGATAATCCCAAGTGCCAACTGCTGTATCACAGGGCCAGGCTGGGAAGACATCTAGGGGAGAACAGAGTCTTCCAGGATATGGCAGTGGCCAGGGGAGGGGCCGGGGAAGGACATCCTGGGCAGAGGGACCACCTGAGGAGTGTTGATGAGGTGTGAGGTGTGGAGCTGCCGGCGCTGCTGCAGGTGGAGATGGCTAGGCCTTTCTTCGAGGCATCTCTGGACAGATTCGAACCGCCAACCTTTCAGTTAGCAGCTGCGTGTGTTAACCATTCGCACACCCCAGGGGCTCCGTATGCTCTTTCAGCTCCCTTTTAGGGAGCTTGTGGGTTTCATTTTGCATCCTCCAGTCAACCTGGCCCTGAGTCTGCATTCTGGGTCCTTAAACGGCACCTCCTTCTGCAATCCTTCCTTCTCCAGGACAGTTGTGGGGGACTAGAGGTAAGAGGCAAGGTTGAAGGTGAAACAGAAATCCAGCCAGGAGATGCTAGGGAATTGGGGTGGCTGCAGTCAAGGGTCTAGGCTCTCTTTGCTGTTGGAGGCCAAGGCCAGCCTTGGCATAGTTCACGCCTCAGCTACGCAGTGGGGAGTTAGTGAGGCAGTTGGGGGAGAAGGGAGGGGCTTGGCCAGGTGTCACAGAAAGGGGACTGACTCTCACACAGAGACCTCTCTTCTCCCATCTCTCCAGTCCATCCAGCTGTGAGGCACTGGACTCCATTATCTGTGAGGCCTCCACTCTGTCAGTCACCACCAGTCTGGGCGTGGGGACTGGTGCCTTCCCTAGTTCACAGATGGGAAAATGAGGGCCTGACCCGCCCAGGAGCACACCCGCCAGAACTGCAGGGCTAGGACCCAGGGATTGGAGAGCTGGCCACTCCTACTCTGGGCCCACCCACCCTGGGGAGTTGAGGTTGCAATTTTAGCCTTAGAAGGCCAGGCTGCACCCGGGTATCCAAGGAGGCTTCTGGGAGGGAGACTGGCCTGCCTCTGCTGGTGTCAGCCACTCCAGCAGAGGAGGGGGAGGAAGGGGATAAAAAAAAAGCCAGCCACAGGCCTGCCAGCTGTCCCATCCCCAGGGGACGCCCCCTTTCCAGCCCCTGCCGCCTCTCACCTGTCCCAGCTTAGAAAGCAGGAATCCCTTCCTGCTCCCGCAAGGGAAGACGTCACCAATGGGGCAGGCCAGCTGATGAGTGCCGATAGCGCTGGAGTCTGCCCCATTTACAGTCTGGTTCAAACTTGTTCTTCTATTCCTGGCGGCATTCAAAGAAATAGTCATCTCCTGTCCGGGCTCTGTTGGGAGCTTGGCAAGTTGTGGCACTGTCAGGACTGCGACCTGTAGTGGAAGGGCCAGAGATGTTGGTTCCCAGGCTGGGTGGCCGCCCCTCTCCAGGCCTCAGTGCCCTCATTTGTAAAATGGGGTGAATCCTTGCTGTGAAAAGGGAAGGGGTGGGGAGAGGAACTCGGCAGGCCCTATATGAGGTCTGCAGCAGCAGCCTCTCTTATTACAGTAACTGGTTGTGGCCTGTTCCACTGACCCAGAGTCCAGGAGAAAGGTGGCCAGAATCTTGGAGAAGCTGAAATGGGAAAGTTCAGGCTTGAGCTCCGCCCCCTCGGCTTGATTGCCTCCAGGGGCAGTGAGCTCATCTCCTGATTCAGCAGGTAGCCCCTGCTCCTGCTCCCCAGCTCCTCAAGCCAGGGCTTGTCGCCTTGGTTCCCACAGACCCCTCCCCTTGGTGAGGCTGCTGCTGGCCAGGTTGAAGCCACTTCTGCTGGGGCTCCTTCCTGACTCCCCAGCCCCGCCCCGGCCCCCTGCTCACCGGGCCTTGTTCTGACTCATCCTCCTCTCCTTTGCCTCTTGCAGAGACTTCGATTCACTTTCCAAGGACAATGTTTTTGAGAATAACCGTTTGGTGAGTCCCCTGACAGATAGAAGCCTTAGAGGGTGTGGTGTGCGTTCGTGTGCATAGGAGAGCAGGGGTGTTGCAGGGCGGGAACTGAGGCAGGGCTCCTGGACCCAGGTGTGTGTGTGTGTGTGCGTGCACGTGTGCGTGCACGTGCACGCAGGAGGGCAGGGGTCTTTCAGGGCGGGAACTGAGGCAGGGGCTCCTGGGCCCAGCACCCCTAGCTGCTCCCCTTGCCGGCAGGCCCCAGCTGCTCCTCTCCCCACACTGTGAGCCCCAGGCTGTCCTCCTCCCCAAGCCATCATACGGGGTTCGGGCCAGACTAGACCCCTGCCCCTGGTCCCCCTCATCCCCTGAGTGTGCACACTCACACTGCCTCCTCCTCTTCCTGCTCCCCTGTCCCCACCCCAGGCCTTCGAGGTTGCTGAGAAGGAGCTGGGGATCCCCGCTCTCCTGGACCCGAATGACATGGTCTCCATGAGTGTCCCCGACTGCCTCAGCATCATGACCTATGTGTCACAGTATTACAACCACTTCTCCAGCCCTGGCCAAGGTGAGTGGGAGCCAGTCCTGCAGGGCAGGGGGCCCAGGGGTGCAGCTGGGAGGTAGACTGTTGTTTTTCTGAGCTGTAGACAGACAGCTGGGGAGGCAGCACATGATTCATTCATTTACTTGCTGATTCACTCCTTCGTGTATTTACTGATTGCCCACCCTGTGCAGAGTACTGTGCTAGAGCCCAGTTTCCAGGGGCAGCAGGCAATAAACACGGTCGCCATGCCGAGGTTGTGTTAAAGGTGAGAGAGTGATTTGGAAAAGGCGGGTGAGAAAAGTTGCAGAAGCTGAAGAGTGTCATCCATGTCACTGAATTGTTCGTGTAGAAGCTGGGGAGTTGACATAGGTTTTGTTATGAATATTATCACTTCAATAATCAACCAAAAAAACCACATAAACCAATAAATGAACAAGTTAATGTCAAAGGCGATAAACAGTTGAGTTCACCTGCTGTCTGTGACCAGCACCCACCCTCACTTCCTGTTTGCAGATACTTCCCTGGGTTTTTCCTCTAACAAGGAAGTGGCCCTGTGGGGCTGTCTTCCCCAGACTTGACCTTCAAGTCTGAGAACTGTGAGGCTGAGGGACATGAGTGGGGCTACTGGGTCGCCTCTTGGCCCTGAGTCAGGTCACAGGGCAGCCAACTCTGCTGACCCCTCCAGCCTGGAGCTAACAGATGCAGGGGGGACCTCTCCTGGGAGCAGCTGGGCCTCCTGTTCTGCAGAAGGAAATGGCTCAGAGAGGGGAGGCAAGAAGCCCCAGGTCACACAGCAGAAAAACTGAATAGCTTGGAAGGGAATCCGGGTATCCTGACCCTGCCTGGGTCTCTGCTGCCCGTAGGTTCAGAGGGAGGTAGGAGCCTTGTTTCTGCCCTGCCCCTTGTCAACCCTACTTCCTGACTGCTCTCAACCCCAGTGCATCTCTTAAAAAAAGTGTTTATGAAATCAGGTTGTTTTTTTCTTCTCTCACTTAGAGTCAGGCATGCTTAAAAAAGAAAAACGACCAAACCTACTGCCATTGAGTTGATTCTGACTCATAGCAACACCCATTGGGTTTCCAAGGCTGTAAATCCTTTTCTTTTTTTTTTAATTTTTCTTGTGGTTTGGGTAGAAGTTTACAGAACAAATTCATTTTCCATACAGCAGTCCATACACATGTTGCCTCAGGACATTGACTGTAATTTCCCACAGTGCAGCAGCCCTCTTTGCATGGTCACCTCTTCCCTGCTTACTTCCCTCGCATGGCCTCCCCGCCCCCAGCTGTCTTCCTGTGCTAACGCTGTTCTTCTATTGCCCACAATGATCACTCCAAGGAGTGTACTATGTTATGTCAATGTTCACCCCATGTGCCTGCCTGTTGTTTGGCTGGAAGCCACAGGAGAGAGTTCAATTCCAGACCTGAAGGTTAACTAGGGGTCATAGACTCAGGGGTCTCACCAGGCTCTATCGGACCAGTAACGCTGGCCTTTTTTTTTTTTATGATTTTTGAGTTTTGTTCCACATTGTTCTCCCCTCTATCCAGGATCTCCTACACAGATCCCCTCCACATGGTTGACAGCAGTTACCTCCCTCTGAACCTACAGGCAGCAGAGACCCAGGCAGGGTCAAGAAGCCCAGACTCCCTTCCAAGTAGCCGGGCACCATCTCGTTCTTCTGGTCTCATAATCATATAGGCTGAGGATTGCATGGTTTACCGTGCAATTAGTCCATGCATGGACTAATTGTTTCCATGTGTCTTTGGTTTTCTTCATTCTTCTTTGCTCTGAGTGAGGAGAGACCCACCATTTTATCTAGATGGCTGCTTGTAAGCTTTTAAGACTCCAGTTGCTGCTCACCAAAGTAGGATGTGGAACAGTTTTTCTGTATAGGATGTTATGCCAATTGAGCTTGATGTCCCCTGTGACCATGGTCCTGAGCAAGGCTACAAATCTTTATGGAAGCAGATTGCCTCATCTTCCTCCCTTGGAGCAGCTGGTGAGTTTGAACTGCTGACCTGGTTAGCAGTCAGATGTTTTACCCACTACGCCAGCAGCACTCCTTAAAACATGCTTACTGTAGAAAATTTAAAACATAGACAAAAAGCATTCCAATTTACAATCATCTACTACACCTCTCTCAAGATAATACTAGGAGTTAATATAAGTGAATAAATAGGATTATACGCATTTTAGTAGAAATTAAAAAAATAATTTCTGGAGCCCCGAGAGAAGTCTGGGGTTGGGGTTAGGAACACAGGCTGTTTTGTCTCTGCTGTTTGCTGTTTTGTCTCTACTGTTTGCTGTTTTGGGGGATCATGGGCCAGTTATTCAACCCCTCTGCCTCATTTCCCTGTGACGGGGGTAAGCATTACACCTGTCTTACAAGGTGGACAGGAGCTCTGGTGGCGTAGTGCCTAAGGCATTTGACTGCTAAACAGAAGGCTGGCGGTTCAAACCCACCAGCCACTCCTCGGAAGGAAGGTTGGGCAATCTGCTCCCATAGAGATATTGCCTCAGAAACCCAACGAGGGGTCACTGTGAGTCGAATACGACTCTACGGCAGTGGGTTTGGTATGTTTTTACAAGGTGGACGTGAGGGATGAAGGCGGAAATGTATGAACGTCGAGCCTTATGGCGGGCCAGGATTACTTACCTGTGCCAGCGGAGTTTCGCTCTCTTACTTAGAATCACGCTCCGTCTTCTTGCCCTGAGGATTCCTTGTGGCCAAGATCAGGTCCCTCTCTCCTCGCCTTTGCTGCTGGGCCGCAGGTTCAGGGCCCTGGGTGGTGTCTGAGCCCATCCCTGGCCCTCACTGGGTGTCCCAGGGTCGGGTGAGGGCAGCACTGGGCAGGGCACCCCCTCACCCTGCAGGGATTCCAGCTTGTAAAGGTACGGTTTGTGCTACTGGTGCAGCTTGCCTGCTAAATGCAAACCATTTTAGTTCCATCTGCCGCTCAACCAAAGAAAACAGTGCTGTGTTCCAACCCCGGAGGCAGGGCTGGCCCCCACCTGGCCCTGGCCTGTACTTTCTGGGCGAGCAGAGGGATTCTCAAGGGTGAATTTCACCAGCCTTGACTTTTCACTGGCCTGGTTACCTTTAAAGGAGCCCTGATGGCACAGTGGGTTAAGCACTCACTCACCGGCTAACCCAAAGGTTGACAGTTGGAACCCACCAGCCACTCCACAGGAGAAAGATGCAGTAGTCTGTTTCTGTAAATGTTACAGCTTTGGAAACCCTATGGGGCAGTCCTACTCTGTCCTGTAGGGTCCCTGTGAATTGGAATCAATGGCAGTGGGATTTATTTATTTATTTATACTACTCTGGAGCCCTGAGCTGTCTGAGTTACCTGTGCTGAGTATTGAGCTAGTGCCAGGCCCCGTGGGTGCCAGTGACCCCGCGGGTGCCAGTGACCCCGCACACATCGGGCTGACAGCCTGTCAGGGAACTGGGCTGTGATTGAAGGAAGCCCATCAGCTCTGGGGACTCAGAAGAGGCACACCTGCCCCTAGAAGGTGGGAGGGCAGGTGTCATCAGGATCAAGTCCGTCTTCTCACTGGAACTTCTCAGGGCCTTGGTGGCCCCTGCTGGCCTCACCCTGCTTGGCTCCAGCCAGTCCCTGCCCCACCTGCTGTGGCTACCATTGACTTGGCCCTCAGCTCATGGCCAGGCCCCGCACAGTGGGAGGAAATGCTGCCCGGCCCCCTGCTGTTCCATGATTGGCTGTGGACTAGACCTTTGTGATCCGTAGGGTTCTCATTGGCTGGTTTCCAGAAGTTGGTCACCAGGCTTCTCTTCTTAGACCATCTTAGTCTCGAAGCTTCGCTGAAACCTGTTCAGCGTCATGGCAACAGGCAGGCCTCCCCTGGCAGACAGGTGGGGGTGGCGCATAGGTGCATGGGCTGGGAATTGAACCCAGGTCTCCCTCATGGAAGACCTGAGCCACCACTGACCCCACTGCAACTGCAGTCATAACTGAATCCTTCCACTTCTTTGACTGTATCACATTCCTTCACTGCTAAGCCTTTCTTCTCGCTGACCCTTCTGCCCCCAAAATCATTTTCTGCTCCGCTTCTCATCCCTTGGCCTGTTCTTTCTTGCTCATCTCTAATCTTCCCCTCACATTTTCCTCCTCCATGGAGCCTGCCCTGATACTCCATCTGCTCCTGGTGCTTCCTGCCCCATGGTGAACCCAGGAGACTGGTTGTAAGATTTTATTGGTTCATCTCTCTTCCCCTGCAGACAGCTCTGCCTGGTTCACAGCCAGGTAGCCTCATCCCCTAGTGTTTATCCATTCACATAAGAAATATTTATTGAGGCCCTCCCGTGTGCCTAGGAACTCTGGTGGCATAGTGCTTAAAACATTTGACTGCTAACCAGAGGCAGGCAGTTCAAACCCACCAGCCACTCCTCGGAAGGAAGATTGGGCAATCTACTTCCATAGTGATACTGCCTCAGAAACCCAAGGAGGGGTTGCTATGAGTCGAGTCTGACTCCATGGCAGTGAGTTTGGTTTTTTTTTTTTTACTATGTGCCAGGCATTACACTAAGTGCTGAGGAAACGGCTGAGGAAAGAGACTTAGTCCCTACCCTCATAGAGCTTGCACTCTAATGGATGGGAGAGGGAGAGAGAAGAAAAAAATAGAATTACAGATGAGTGCAGAAAAAAAAAAGGAGCTAATGGAATACAAAATATCGGGGGAAGTGGGGAAGTTGCTACATTCAGGGAGGCTCTTTGAAGAGGCGGTGTTTGAGCTGAGCCTTGACTTGGGAGAGGGAAGGAGGTGGGTGAAGGTCTGGGGAGGAAGGGTCTGGTCTGGCAGAGGGGCTGCAGGGCAAATGGTGGGGTAAAGAGGATGAGGACAGGGAGGGGAGGGTTATGTGTGGACTTGATTAGGCTGCTGGGCTTCTGGAACTTCAGGCCGTGACTCCTGGGAAGAAATAGATAGCCCTGCACTGGCCAAGTCTGTGCACACATCTGTCACTGAGACAAGTTTCAGGAAGCGGTTCTTCCCCATACCACATGGGATACACACAGATAGTTTCCATCCTGTTTCATTTTTCAAATGTGCTGGTTGCAATCCCCCAAACTGATTTTATGGCTTGTGACCTGAAGTTTGGCAAGTGCTAGTTTGGACCATGGTAAGGAAGTGGGATTATACTTAATTTTTTTAAATGATTGTACAGTAAAATTGACCCCCCCCCCTTTTTTTTTTTTTTTTGCTGATGTACAGTCCTTTGAATTTTTGGATTTTCTTTTAGTCACTGAGTCTAGTAGGTGCTCCGTGATATTTGCTGGGTTTGGGGCCATCCCTGTCCCATTGAGGGGAGGCAGGGCAGCAGGTGTCCGTCCAGAATCCCAGCACATTTCCTACTGTGTGCCTTACCTCCTTTCCTTCTCTTTGGGCCCCCGCGCCCTGGCAGGAGGAAGCTACTTGCTTTGCCACCTGCCGGGTGCCCTGTGACTGTGCTGTTCCCCTGGTGTTCCTGTTGGCCCTGTGCAGTCAGAATTACTGCCGCAGGGAGGCCCCGGTCTGGGGGATGGCGGCCCTTTCTTGTCTCACTTTGTTGTGTGGTCTGCTCCAAGGCGGTGCAGTGGCCCAGATCGTCCCCCACGGTGGGAAGGGCACCGCAGGGCCCCCACCTGTCTCAGGGCCCCTTTCCCGTCTCTCGGCAGCGGGTGTGTCGCCACCCAGAAAGGTCTTGGCACCCCCCTCCCCACCTTCTGAAGCAGCCACCCCAGTGGAACCAGGAGACGTGGCTCAGGTAGGGGTTGGGGGTGGAGGGTGGGGTGGAGGTGGGGAGGGTGGGTCAGTAGACAGCTGTCATCACGGTGACTCCATGAGAGGGAGGTCCTGATGGGTCCAGAGGTCGTGTTCTGTCCTGACTCCATGGGGCTTGGGAATACAGAGCTCAGGGGCCCCTGGAGGTATGGGTGCACAGGTCAGGCAACCCATTTCTGTGGAGCCCTATTTCTTTCTCCAGGGTTTAGGTGGGGTCAGGTGATACCAGGCTTGGGAAGGGGAGAGAGCGTAGACACAACTCATCTTTGCCCTTACGGGTTGTCTGGAGTCATAATGAGACAGGTTCTGTCCTTAAGTCCCCTTGCAGAGCTTTGAATGCCCCCAATGTTTAGTCCTTTCAACAGCCCTGGGAGGTCTGGTTATAGGCGCTGATATTCTGAGGAAATGGAGGCTCTGGGAGGGAGGTTGGGCAGCAGGGTCACATCTAGACAGCAGTTTCCAGTTTGCAAAGGGCTGTTCCCACCTGCTCCCATCTGCTTCTACTAGAGGGGCTCCAGAGCAGGCGGAGAGCCAGGCTCTGGGTGGGTGGAGCTGAGACCCACAGGGGTTTTACAACTCCTTTTTTGCTGGTGGGAAAAACATAGACCAGAGACATGAGCCTCTTGCTTGAGGTCACAATGCTTAGAAGTAGAGAAATGGTGTAAGCCTTCCACAGCTGGAGAAGAGGGCAGAGGTGTTAGATCTAAGAGGAGTCAGCTGGCAGAGAGGACCAACTCTCAGGTGTGGGAAGGGGCCTTTCAGAAACCAGATGTTGGGATTTATGTGCGTTTCTGCCCTGCCTCAGTGACCTTGAGCCAGTCTCTTCCCCTCTCAGGGTCTCAGTTTCCTTCTTTGCAAAACCGTGGCCATCTCCCACCCTCTGCCCCCTCCTGGAACTCAGATGAAACACAGTTGACCGTCATTATCCGTGGATTCCTTATTTGGGAATTTACCCACTTGCTAAATTTGTTGTTGGGTGGCATGGAATTGATTCTGACTCACAGACACCCTATCAGACAGAGTAGAACTTCCCCATGGGGTTTCCTAGGCTGGAATCCTTACGGGAGCAGAGCACCATGTCTTTTCTGTCACGGAGCTGCTGGTGGGTTTGAACCACTAACCTTTGGGTTAGCAGCCCAGCACCTAACAGTTGCACCACTAGGACCCCTCAGAGTTTTTTAGTAACCCCAAAGTCAGTGCTTGTGGGCTTTTGTGGTCAGTCGTGGGCGTGAGTGGAGTGGCAAAAAGTTTGAGGCCCCTGATGCTTGTATTCCCAGCTGAGGCCGAGCAAGGCGGCTGGCTCTCTGCCTTCTTGTCTCAGCTCTCGGCCTGGAAACAAGTAGTGCCATGCTTTCACATTTTCCTCCTCCTCGTCGGTGATTTTGCTGTTTAAAATGGCTGGCAAGCCTAGGGCCAGTGTGCTGGCTGGTGGTCCTAACGGCAAAGTGGCTGGTGCCATGCCTTACGGAGGAAATACTTGCGTTAGATAAGCTTCCTTCAGGCATGGGTTATGTGCTGGTGGCTGAGTTCAGTGTTAATGAAGCCACAACATATAGTCAACACAGTGGCTTTCAACAGAAACAAAGATGCTCTTGTAGCATATGGCTGAAGGTTTGGCTGTAAACCAAAGGGCCCCGGTTTGAACGCACCAGCTGCTCTGCGGGAGAAAAGACCTGACCGCCGGCTCTTATCAAGATCAGCCTAGGAAACCCTGTGGGGCGGTTCTGTTCTGTCCTGTCAGCCACTGTGAGTTGGAATCAACTCGAAGACAATGGGTTTTAGTTTAAACAGAAACACATGTGAAATGAGGTTATGTACTGACTGGTTAGCAAGAATGTTGTGACCTGTTGTCTCCCCTAGAAGCTATGGGCCAGTATTCACTAATTCCATTGGTGGCCATTTTATAGGATGTAACGTTTTGAAAGTGAGCAAAGTCTATCCGCTACCACTGGAAGCTTCTACACACTTGAGGGACAGTGGTCTTTAGAGAAAAGAGGAGGGGGTAGTGTTCCTGAGCTGGGATGACTGGTGACCGTACCCACCCGATCTGCCTACCCCATGTCCTGTAGGGTGAGGAGCTCTCCTCGAGCAGCCTGTCAGAGCGGGGCACCCACCAGACCCCCAGCAGCACATGTGCAGCCTGCCAGCAGCACGTACACCTGGTGCAGCGGTACCTGGTTGACGGCAAGTTGTACCACCGGCACTGCTTCCGGTGAGTGGCTGGGAGAAGCAGGGGTGGGGGGGAGCAGGGGGCTTGTACTAGTACCCAGGAAGGAGTCTGAATTCAGCACCCACAGTGTGCCAGGCACTACCAGGGTTAAGTGCTTAGCTGCTAACCAAAAGGTCATTGGTTTGAACCCACCAGCCGCTCTGCAGGAGAAAGATGTGGCAGTCTGCTTCCATAAAGATCGCTGCTCTGTGGGGGCAGTTCTGTTCTGTCTCTAGGGGTGCTGTGAGTCGGAAATAACTCTATGGAAGTTTTTTTTCTTTAAATATACTTTAAAGGAACTCCTTGGTGGTGCAAGTGGTTAAAAAAAAGTCAACAGAAATGGTTGGTTGAAAGCCAGTAATTGAATTGACTGAGAACCAGGAATGGGTAGCCCCCAGCCCTCTGGATGGTACTCTGGGGGCGGGGCCTTTCCTTCCTCTTGCTGCCAAAGTGAACGCTGTTTCACAACTGATGTTGCTGGTTTCACATAATTTCGCTGCTCTGCTGGGTTTCTAACAGTTACAGTTTTCTTTTCACTCTGCTGGAAGTCCCAGGTGTTGAACCAGGACCAGGGCTGGCAGTTGTGAGGCGACAGAACTGCCTTGGGCAGCTGGTGGTGGAGTAGTCAGCTCCAGGCTGAGCTGAGCCCCATCTCTGTCTCTGCTTCTGCCCTGGACTCTGCCCTCACCCCTGGCTCCGCCTTCTCCCGAACTCCACCCTTCCCCCAGCCCCACCCTCTCCCTGACTCCACCCTCTCCCTGGCTCCCCCCTCCCCAGCCCCGTCCTCTCCC